TTTTGTGTTGATGAATAAAATATGCTTTTGGGAACAAAAGTGTCAATGTATGTTGGAAAGCTATGAAGCTAGCTTCTTCTTGCGAGGAGGAGATATCAATCTTTCACAACTTGTCACATTGGCAGTGTATCTAACTGACACAATTCTCAGCCAGAACAGCTTTCTGAGAGCTGCCGTTGCAACACATATAGAGGATGCCATTTTGAGAAAAGCAATATTATGGTGTCAAATCAGGGATGGGTTCCTGCCAGTTCTAACCTCTTCTATAGAAGTGGTTCCACAAATCTAAAGGGGCTGTTTAGAACCAGTTCCAGCTCCCTCCCGCCGCCCGTCCACACATCATCAAGATGAAGAATGAGAGGAGGAATTCTGGGAGTTGAAGTCCACAAGTCTTAAAGCTATCAAGTTTGAACACCCCCAGGTTTTTTTTTCCTAAAGGGTTAGGGGTGCAAGGGTCTTGTAACTTGACAGCTTTAAGGCTTGCACGTTTCAATGCCAGAATTCCTGAGCCAACATGACTGGAGGAGAAATTCTGGGAGTTGAACTCCACAAGTCTTAAAGCTGTCAAGTTTGAACACCCCTGTTTTTTTTTAAAGAATTAGGGGTGCAAGGGTCTTGTAACTTGACAATTTTAAGACTTGCGTGCTTCAAATGCCAGAGTTTCTGAGCCAACATTTTGGTTGCTAAGTAAGAGCGTTGAGTTTCACCACATTTTACAAGTTGGTCACGCCCACCCAGTCACATGGCTGCCAAGCCACTCCCACTCGGTCACATGGCCTGCAAGCCACTCCCACAGGCCACACCTACAGAAGAGGTTCTAAAAAAATTTGAAACCCAGCAGTGTGTCAAATCAATAGCAGACAAAATCCACCAATCACAACTAGCCTCGGTCTTTCTCTTTATGGCATGTTTGAATCATTTCCACCAGGGCTGCAGAATACCACAGATACCGGTATATTGGTAAGAGCACAGCATATACAAAAAGGCCTTCTTTGGGCTATTGCAAGGAGGTACGGAGGCAAAGGCTATCCATGGTTCAGTGCTGCCAACAGGCATGATTCTTCCAATCTGTGTCTATGTGTATGTATGAATGCAATCCTTTCTAGAGATAAGCATGGGGAGGGGGGTCGAATTAAACTCTCAAGAGGTTTGCAATGAACTTGGATAAATTGGAAGCCAGAATGCTAAGCTTTGGTTTGGTGAAAATCCCCCCCCCCCTTAAACAAACAGTGTCAGTCCTGGAAGTCATCTTTTGCATTGGGCCTTCAGGCCTGCTACATTTATTACTGTGGGAAACTTGGAGGGGGGTTATGTGGAGTAGGGTAGATATAGTCAAAATAACTTTCTGAGAGAGTCAAGGACATTTTGCCCTGCACCTTGAGTGGCGTGACTGTGCAGTATCTCCAGTTAGGACAGTGCTTGATTGGACCATATCTGGATGCTGGGCAGGGATTTGAACTTTTGTTTGGGTGGGGAAAACCTGGAAGCTTTCAGATTCTGGTTTTCCCAGATGTGCCAATATGACATCTCTAATAAAATGTAACTTTGAGGAATCTCAAGCCTTGGAGTCTTGTTTTTGTTGGGGTGTTACTTGGAACCCTGACACATAGGTCTTTTCTCCATGACTGAGTTAAAATGATATCGACCATTCCTAGAGCCAGCAAAAAACTACACATGAATAAAATTTGCCCTTCTCCTTTGCAGTCTCTTATTTTGCTGCAGGCACAATGTTGGCAATTGTACGGTATTTATTTATAGCGTACAGTACATATTAAGGACAGTGATTGGTGCACTCCTCCAGCCTTTGCTCCTTCCTGCCATCAAATATTACCAGTCCAGAAAAATCATCAAGCAATTGCTTTGGCATAGAAGAGCTAAGAGACTTACCGTAGTGAGTTTTGAAAGATGGCTAGACCTGTGGGTTTAAGCATTTGTCAAGAACCCCTTGTATTTATGTAACTGCTGGTGCATTTAGAGGGGGACCATTATTGAAATAGCACTTTTCTAGAACAAGCACTAAACCATCTGCAAACAGAGATTGGTCATTGGCTGACATATATTTCATCTATTCTGGAAAAGTGCTAAATTTGTGATAAAAAAGAGCCAGAACAAATATTGACAGGTGCCCCAAAGGTGCTTATTCAAGATGATTGAGAATCTCAAATAGACATTGACAGATGCAAAGACTGGACAGTTTTACCATGAGGAAGCAGAGAATTCTCTTGGAGAAGCTGCTGGTCAGGCTGATCTACCTAGAGATCAAGTGGATCCAGGAGCATAGGCTGGCTTGAAGAAAAACCCAGATTTTCCCACTGCCCAAAGCAGAGGACGACAGTAAAGAGAAATCATGTTGGAGGAAGAAAATAATACGCAGCAGTCTAAAATGAATAATAGATGTCACATCAATCCTACCTCTCACTTGACTATGATACTGATAGAAGGATTGGGGAAATGTGTCTGATGGTGTCCATGGCAAAGTGTGCATCAGAATAAAGAAAAACTTAATTATTCTAATTTTACAGTTCATTGTTATAAATGTAATCTAAATACCAATCTGCAGAATCAGATAGTCCACATCCTCATCAGTGAGGGATGGCTGTTAGTCATATACGTAGACCCAGATTCAGACTACTCCAGATTCTCTGTGCCATATATAGAAAATGGTGTTGTGTTGTAATACTGTAAAGAGAAACAGGGAAACAGAAAAGTAAAAATCAGATGTCTCACCAGACACTGATTAACGTTGGAAATCTTTGAGAAGTTGGAGAACTCTAGAAATGTGAAGCAAAGGGCCATGTCTTAAGAAGCCTTATATTTCTGTAGAAAGAGGCAATTACTTATAATCAAGTATCTGCACTACAGATTTAAATTTCTGTTTTGTGTGTTTTGTAAATCTTATGTTCTTATCTCACTGGACAAGTTGTAGAATTAAGCATCTAATTTCAATGCCTGCCTGCCTGCCTGCCTGCCTGCCTGCCTGCCTGCCTATCTGCCTGT